TTCCGCTGAAGAAATACAAAGGCTTTATAAAAGATTTATGAAACTTGATACAGATAAATCAGGTTCCATAGAACGAGAAGAATTTCTTTCTATTCCACAAATCGCCAATAATCCATTAGCATCAAGAATGATTGCTATATTTGATGAAGATGGAGGTGGAGATGTAGATTTCAAAGAGTTTATTGCTGGATTGAGTGCTTTCAGTTCAAAAGGAAACAAAGATGAGAAATTACGTTGTAAGTAAATATATTTATAATTTGATGAATGTGCATTATGAAGTTATATATATTTACATGCTATTATTGCACACTATGTATTATTGCATATTACATATGACATAATACTAATAATTACAAATTATTACATTAAATAAAAAACAGTTGCCTTTAAGGTATATGATATGGATAGAGATGGATTAATTTCCAATGGAGAATTATTTATTGTATTGAAGATGATGGTTGGCAATAATCTTAAAGATAATCAACTTCAACAAATTGTTGATAAAACGATTATGGAAGCTGACAAGGATATGGACGGAAAGATTTCTTTTGAAGAATTTTATTCAGTAGTAGAGTCAACTGATATTGCAAAAAGTATGACATTGAAAAAAAAAAAGATACACTTACCTTAATGATGAGTAATTTATTTAAATAAAAAAGTAAATAAATATATGAGTGTAAATTTTAAATTATTTTTTCTTAATTCATTTTCTTTGTCCAAGACAGTGTTAGTGATTCAATAGCTAGTGAGTGAGTGAGCGAGCTATATAGTTGATTAATGAGGATAATAATAAAGATGGATCAAAGATAAAAAAAAAATTTTTTAAGATTATTAACTAACGCATTTATTCATACACCACCCATGCATCATCATCATTTATCATCCATCACTCACTCACTCACCAACCCACCCATCTAAAATCTTGTTACAAATGTATGTATATATATGCATGTATGCATCTCGGAAATTTTTTTTATTAATTAAAAAATAAATAAATATATCAAAGTAAAAGAGAGGGGTGAAAATTTTTTTAAAGAAAAGGAGGAAGATGTATTTTTTGATCAATAATAAAATAAAAAGATAAAAAAAATGCATATCCAGGGGGGTTTTCTAAATATATATAGTAAATAGTAAAGATTGTTTTTTTTTTTGCACATGAATAACCACGTGTTTCCATCCCCATTTTTTTAAAAAAAAATTTTTATTTGAATTATTTGGGGTGTTTACAAATAGATAAAAGGGAATTAAAAAAATATGGTTATTGCTATTGTTATTACTACTACTAGCATTGACACACAATACGTTGCGTGACCAAGAAAAATGAATGTGTGTAGTGGGGTGTGGGACTAATTAATATGTATTTGTAAAAAGAATGAGGAGAATAGAGGCAGATGAATGAAAAAAAAAAGATTTGAATAATTATATACATTATATGAAGATGAATTTAGAAGATATTTATATAAATATGAATTGTGTAAGGATTGTAGAAGAAGAGGGTGAGTGGGTACAAATAGTTACCTGTTTTTTTAAAAAAAGTGACTCTTTTCAATCAATCAATCAACAAATCAGCAAATATTAATATTAATGATTACCATCTTGATACATTTAGAAACTGTAATAGTAATAGTAAGCAAGTAAAGTAATAAGATTTTTAACCGGGTTAATAAAAAATAGGAATAATTATTCTCTGTCTAGGAAAAATTTTAGGTGAATGAATTGTGTAAATAATTATCATCATTAAGGTAAGTGTATCTTTTTTTTTTTTAAAAAAAAAAAGTAGTATACCAGAATATATATAAATAATGTAGTAATAATAAATTTGTTTGACAAATAAAATAAAAATAAATGTACAAAAAGGGTGCACAAAAAACAATTCAAAAAAAAGGGGATTATTTTATTTATTATTATCAAATATAAATAAATAAATAAGTAAATAAAATAACAACGCCATTCCTTCTTTTTTTGAAAGAAAACTAGTTTCTATTAAATAATTGATCTTAAAATAAAAAAAAATTTTTTTCTATTGTACTCTTTATTTTACAAAAATACAACAATTTGTGTTCGGTTTTACTTGACCAATAAATTTACTATTTTAGTATTTGATCGCGAGTTTTGAGCTTAAAAAATGGATTAAGTCTTAATAATTGGAGAATTGACAAATAACAAGTTATTTATTATGTCTATTCTTATTTAATATTATTAATAAATAATACAAAATTAGTCACGTGTCTTTTTTAAAACTCTATAAATATGACCCAAATCCCCC